TTCAGCCCCGTCCCGTAGTCTCGTTAACTCGGGACTCGGGACCGTCCCGTGGACCCGTAAATCCGGGACACCGGGTCCTACCTAATTGATCAATCTATCTAGGTTCGTTGATTGGATCGTAACAGAGGGAGAGATTGTCGAGGTTGAGCCGGGACAGAAAGTCAAGTCTGAGCCTGTGATGATAAGTTTACTCTGAAACGCGAGGGACAAGAAGTGTCGCAGGACTTGGTTGTCTTTTCAGTGACAGAGGGCAGTGGTGGTTTTCGTCGGTCGTGTCTCTGGTGTAGAATGTAGAGATGGGGGATGGGTAGGTAACTAAAGTATTGCCGTCGGGTTGCAGCGGAACAAAGTAGATAAAAAGGGGTATCATGTGACGACTCGGGAGGCTTTTGTGTGTATGTACAATATTGTTCAAGACTGAATCGACTCTTTCCGACATCCCATCGTTAATATGTGCAGTGCACGATGGTAACCGGTATCAGTGTAACCCCAGGAAAAGGGGTACCTTCTCTCTCATGCAATCCCACCACCACTTCCTCCGCTCAACCCCTCAACAAGCCAAGCAGCGCACCAGCACCGAAAGCCGCTCCAATGGTCAAGAAGCTCGACGTCGACAGGAGCGAGATACCGCTGATACCATGCCCAGAAGTGCATCCGCCCGCCATCCTCGAACCGATGATCATCAAGAAACCACCCAAGCCCGCCGCAACAGGCGAGACCGCAACCTCAGTAACCTGGCCAAGAGCAGGATACGCAACCGTCAACAGCTTCGCACCAAGGACTGCGCCGCTGACAAACAACAAGTTGTTATACCTCTGCGGCAGCGTCTTTCCCTTGAAGATTCCCCAGAACCAATCCCCGACCTCCTCAAAGCTCGTCGAAGTGCCCACCAAGTTCTTCCTCAACAACAAACTCAACAGCTGCGCACCAGCAATGCACAACCCACCCATCCAAGGGGCAATCCTGGCCTCCGGCCCAACACTGGTCCAAAGCGCAGTGCTCACCACCACGCTCGCACAAATAGCCTCAAAAGCCACCAAAACGCTGGACTTGGGCACGCCCAAGTTCTCGTAAACAGTCTTGGTAACTTCCCTATCTTCGCCGCGAGCCTTGGCCTCAGCCTTGGCGGCGGCGTTACGGCGCGCGATCCAAGGACCGAGAAAGCCCGTGAAGACGATTCCGCCGAGGATACCGCCTTCTAAAGCGTAGAAACCGGAGCGCACGCCGGCGCCGAGTTGGGCGAGGACGGTACCGGGGCAGGCGCCCGAGAGCATCATGCCTGTGCCGAGAAGCAGGCCGCCGAGGAGGTTGCCGTCGTAGCGCGAGAAGAGGGAGAGGGTGGAGAAGGAGCGGGGGGGAAGGGGGGGGAAGGTTGTGGGAGAAAGGGTTTGGAGGAGGTGGACTAGGGCTCTGTTTTTTGTGGAAGGGGGTTGTTAGTCGTTGCTTATGTGGAAGTGGAATGATGGCTTGGTGGATGTGAAGCTTGGGGGAAATTGGGGGGAGTTTGGGAGTGGGAGAGGGTGAGGCGAACTGCGCGAACAAAAACTCAGACTCCGGGAAGAAAGAACTTACGCAGAGCTGGCGGCAGCAGTAAGGAATGCTTGCATCATATGCCAGTTCTCAAACTTGAGTTGAGAGACGATGACGGAGGGCTGATAAACGCCCGAAGCCGTGAGGGCCGCGCCGAAAGCGGCGCCTGTGACGAGTGTGTTCATGTTTGTGTGTTGTGTTGTGTGTTTTGTCGTTTGTGTCGGTATGTGACACTCGAATGTGTGTATGGGTATTAGTGTAAGATGGTTAGTTGGTCGATTAGAGATTCACAACCTCTTTTTCGTTGGATAAGGATATGGCGAAGCAACACTGATGAATGAGCTTGACCAGAAACGAAACTGGGAAGGGGAAAAAGAAGAGCCCAGGCGACAGATATTATTATACAGTCCTGCAAAGTGGAATGAAAGGGCTCCGTATCGGCGTCCACGTAGCGCCATGCTAACAATGGAGGCGGCAAGCGGGAATGCGATGATCAGAAGTTCCACCTCTTTTGCTTCGCCGGGATATGCTCGGCGATGAGGGCATTGCGGGCACCACGGGCGCTACGGGCACTAAAACAGGGTGTGGATCTCCATGGTCTGTGAGTGCCGGCAATCGTTTTGCGTTCGTTTTTTTTTGGTCTGGGAGGCGGTTTTCCAGCGAGGTTCAGATTGTTTTTTTGTTCGATTTCGCTGCGAACGAATCGCTGGGCCACCGGGCGGGTTCAAGCCCGAGATGGGTCACAAGGGGTTTTGTGACATTTGGGACCAAAATTAGGCGATTTGACCCAGCACCGAGATCCAGCTAGACCGATCGGAGACTTACCGAGCACTAACGCAGACCCGGCAGCTCGGATCGTTCACTCTGTTAGCGCCTGTTAGTCCCCGAATCCCGACATCCGCCCTGGCCCGCCATCCCGCTACAAATGTAAGGTCGCCGGCCGTGCTCATCCCTTGTCACCTCACTCTGGACTGGCGAACGAAAAGCTTGTCCGAACGTTAGCGAACAGAGAACATTTCTCATTGTCTTGGAACACATTCCTTGAAGCGTCCTTTGGTTCCAGCGTGGCTGGCTTGGTGTCTTGGATGAGCACTTGAACATCCAACGCCATTTTCCACAATGTCTTGGATATGTGATAGAAGCCATGGAGATGCATGTCCAACGTGATGTGGTGATGCCAAGGTAAGCACGGTTTTTTGCTTCTTCTTGTCGTGGTGTCTCCCTCTGACGCTTCGCACACCTCCTTGCGTCAAAATGTCATGACCTTGATCTGTCGTTGATACCGAAACCGGCAAAGTGTGGCATTGCATCACCCGCACCTTTCACGCAAAGGGAGACACTGGAGGTGACCATGGGCACGAGGGCTGGAGGGCCAAGATGCTGTATGTCTCTGACAGCAACGTGCTTCGCACGCGAGACGCACGTGTGAGTGGTTGATGGTGATGGTGATTAGAGGAGACTCAGCCAATTGCCGGCGTCCTGGATTTTGAGAGGTTGGGGCTGAGACATTGGAATATTGGTCACGAACAGAAGGGTGAGAGAACATTGGAATGAGGCATCAATGGAACCACGGTCACACTTGTGGGCAGCAATGCGCTGAGTGGTAATGGGCGGCAATGATGGGAATGGCAGCGGCAAGCGTGAAATCCGCTGAAAGAAACGCGATCATAATGGTGGTCGGCGATCTCGTTTGGAGGTTGTTGTGTTGTTGAAATTTGAAACAGGACCCCGGAACCCCGACGTTGTCCGCAGTCCGCAATGCCCGGGTCGGCGTCCCGGTGGAGCCCCTGGAATTAGATTCGCTGAGAAATCAAAAATCCCCGGGAAATGTTCTGGACGGCGACCCCACTTTTTCCCGCGTGTCACCTTTCAATCCCCGTTCGCCGCCCGCTATCTTTCGGGAACCTCCACAACACAACTAACGACACCTCCTCGGCTTTCTTTCCAGAGCATCGCCTAAAAACCCCTTGTCCCCGGACCAACCCCAATATCGAAACGAAGTGAGGACGACCCCAAACCCACAACGCAACCAACAACAACCACCATACATCGTCGTTCTCCTCACGGCTCTCTCTGTCGGGCTGCACAAGAAGCTAGAAGAACCGTGCCGGAACAGTGCATCGGCGGCGCAATCACAAATCAGCCGCATGGACCACCTACCACTCCCTACACTATTGAATCAAACCCCCTTCCCCTCGCTTATTGGATCGTTCGGTATTCCCATCAGCCCATTATGACCTACGTGGTATCTGGCCAACCCTGATATCTACATACATAACCCTGAGGTCGCCGGAGCCATGGGTCGATTTCTACGCAATTGCTCACCAACACTCACAATTCTCACGAATCGGTTGAGTGTTGGTACGTATCGGGGATCTCGTTTGTTTGTTGGTGTTTACATGTGAAATTCGGGGACCTCGTCGACCTCAAAATGGGTGAGACGAGTGACGACAAGATGTCGGGCACCTCGTAGGGCTACGGGCATCTTACACCGCCCGCAATTGGTGACGGCGACCTCATTTTGATGCTATTCGGGGATTTGAGTCGGTACGGAGGTACTTCGAATCCTCTTCGGGCACCTCGTCTGTGGCGACGGCGACCTGTCGGCAATCTACTTGACGCTATTCGGGGATCTGGAGAAGGTACGAAGGTACTCTTCGGGGACCCCAGGGGACCTCAAGCTTACACATGGTGTCGACGTCGGGGACCTCGAATCGACTACACAACTCCAATGGTTTGATTTCACGATGCTTTTGAACTGCCCATTCTGTCGTCATCAAAAGCTTCATGAGGGGTTGAGGGAGTCGTTGGTGGCGCTGTGGTGAGAGATGAGAGGCACTTGGCACTTACTCAGAGGTTTGTTAGTCAGTCGCGACGAAGTCATTCACAGGAGGACGACGAGGAGCTGGCAGTGGGTTTGACAAGCGAAGGCAAGTGTGGTGACTGACTAAGTTCCCTAGACGATGTTTGAGCTCGGGCGCCCTGATGTGATGGACCGGGCACCAACTGCTGACCATAGCTTTGACAGGTTTGACAGGTCCGGGGAAGATCTACGCGGTTGCCGTACGTCAAGGAGGTCCCCGGTTCGCCTACGAGAACCCCGGACAGACGCATTCGAGCCTGGAAGAGGGCATCCGCACCAGGCATCAAATGAGCGATTGCTTGCCGTGACTTTGGACAGCTCCGGGGAAATCTCATGGCATCAACCTATCACAGGAGGATTTTTTGGTCGCCGATGAGGTCGGCCATCAGCATGAACGGATTTATACAACCTCACAGGGTGTATCCTCGCGGAGTGACAGTCGGGGTCCATGCTAAAACTGCTCCCCGTAGCTACCCCGGCCTTGACAGTGTTGTCGAGCCGTCAATACAAACCTTCCACGGCGACCTGTTCAATCGGTGTTATGGAACCGTTTATTTTCCGTTGTGGACATCCACGTGTTGACCCCGATGGGCCGCTAGTGGAAGCCGGGTTTCAGATGAACACCGGCAAAGTCTTTTACCTTATGCGGTCAATTATTGATATGGTACAGTCGGCGACCACTTTCTGTGCTTTCTCCTTCCTCTCTTGTCCTTACGAGCTTGCCCATCACAAAGGAGACCCCGATAAGTATCTTGAAATCCGGCCAAGCACGCTGGTAGTGTACATCCTCGCCGAATGGCACTTACGGCTCATATGGACTGGTCCCTACCGCCCCTGCCAGGACAGCCTGGACGGCGACCTGTTAGGCGAAGTGTCACGCAAGATGGCCGTTCCAATAGGCACCCACATGAATATCCAGTCTGTTATTCCTCCAGAGGACCCCCGAGTTCCAGATGTACACCGGCACGTCTACTGCAGGGTACTCTAGATCTGGTTATCCTGATCTACCCTACTGCCTTATGCCGCCAATCATAGACAAGGTCTTGGTCAGCGACCACTTTGGATACGTACTCTTACCATGTCTCTTGTACCTGCCTCCATTAAGAAAAGAGGTCCCCGACTCGGCGATGAGTTCGGCGTTCAATATAAGGTAACTATGTACACAGGAACGCCGACAACGTGCATCCTCGCCGAGTGTCTTGCTCTGTGTACTTGCGGTCGATGCCATGCTGGAGTGGTCCCCGGCACTACCCCGTATTGGACGGCATAGGCAGCGTGAACGGCGACCTCTTTTCAACGGGTTTCAGAAACGTTATTTCTGTTGTGGATTCACACGTGCTGACCCAGCCTGTCACAACTGTCAGTCTAACGGGGAAGTCTCAGATGAACACCGAATGATCCATGTCATGGCCGATCCCCTTATGCCGTCTATTTATTGGCATGGTACAGGTCGGCGACCACTTTGTTGACATCCCTTACAGCGTCGTCCAATCACCGATGAGACCCCTTGCTGACCAAGGGAGCCTCAGCCAAGGGGCATTGGGGATCAGCATAAGGATGCCATGCCCGACGTATTTAACGAGGTTCCCGCCGGAGCAACGGTCTTAGCCCGACTTCCGGAAAGGGGGATGGTCGAGTGGCCGACTACCGACGACCATGCCTTCCGCTTCCGAACCCGAGTTCCGGGCCGGACCGCCATGCATGGAGTCTATCTAGCGATTGTGCCTGGACACGAGTTCGGTGATCTCGGCTCAGTGGACACAAGGTGTTTGTCCGATCTAAGTTTGACATCACACTTGGGATGAACCTCGTCTCAACTTGTTTTGTTCTCGAGTTTGGCATGAACATCCCTCCTTGGAATGCCTTCTGTGCGAACAGATCACCCAGTCGGCGACCATTTCTCCGCTATGGATTCGCCGTCAACAGGCTGACGTCGACGACTGAGGTTGAAGGACGAGTAATGCCCGGAAACTGATCTTCACAGCAAGGTCACCACCGCTACCGAGTGCTATAAAACATATGCCAAAGTTCCTTTCGATGCACTCCACCATCATCGACGCTCCAACACCAAACACTAGATTCAACCATGACACCACCAACACCATTACCACCAGCCAACATGTCTTCATCTCCCACAGAACCCATCATCCACCACAACTTCGACCCCCAAACCTCAACATTCACCTACCTCGTCGCCTGCCCTTCCACCCTCCACGCCATCGTAATCGACTCCGTCCTCGACTTCGACCCCTCAACCTCTCGCATCTCCACCACAACCGCCGACTCCCTCCTCTCCCTCATCCGCTCCAAGAACTACACCATCGTCAAAATCCTCGAGACCCACGTGCACGCCGACCACCTTACTGCTTCCCGATATCTGCAAACTCAACTCACCACTTCTACCTCTAGCAACGACGGGGAGGAGGTAAATGGCGGAATAAAGCCCGAGATTTGCATCGGCAAAAGAATCGTTGAAGTTCAACAAGTGTTTGCGGACAAATATGGCATCCCGAGGGAGGAATGGGAGGGAGCGTTTGATAAAGTTTTTGAAGACGAGGAGGAGTTTAGTGTTGGAAACCTAAAAGGGACGGTGAAACATTTACCGGGACATACGCCTGATCATGTTGGGTATTTGGTTGGTTGTAAGTTTTTTTGCCTTCTCTTTTTTTTTCCCCTTCCTTTCCTGCCTGCCTGCCTGCCTGCCTGTTTGCCTGCTTGGGGTTTGCGAAGCCGGGACTGGAACAGCACATTCAATCGCATGCCCTTTGTGTTGTTTCAACGTCCATGACTGGAAGTGCTGACGGGATTTACGAAACAGCAAACATCTTCTGCGGCGATTCCCTCTTTGATCCCGAAGTTGGGTCCGCACGATGTGACTTTCCAGGCGGTGATGCGCACGCATTGTAAGTTTCTTCATTCCCCTCTTTTTCTCTGTCATTTGCCAATCTAACAACCTTATCTTCCCAGATACAACTCAGTCCAAACCCTCTTCTCTCTCCCCGCCCACTATAAGGTCTACACAGGCCACGACTACCCCTCGGCCGACTCCCGCTCTCCCCAGCCCTACACCACAGTCGCCGACCAGAAGCGGCTGAACAAGCACCTGAAGGACGGCACGACAAAGGAGCAGTTCGTCAACTGGAGACAGGAGCGCGACTCCGGACTGGCGGAGCCGAAACTCTTGCACCAGGCGTTGCAGGTTAACGTGCGGGCGGGGCGGATGCCGAGGGATGGGATGCTGAAGGTGCCTTTGAAGATGCCGGGAGAGTGGAAACTGTGAGACGCTGAAGCTCTTTGGTTTATTGCCCGCACTTCTGCGGCGTCACGGGAATGAGATCAAATTTGAGGGAGGCGGAAGTGCTTATTGCATCAGTTAACTTCCCCACACGTACCAAAAACTTTCAGGTATGCACCACTCTAAGCTAAATACACCGTTACACAACGCCAACGCCTCATTTTGAATGAAAGAAATTATAAATCCGCATCTTAAACCCGAGGCCTATATAGCGCATATTTGGTTTTCTTTTCAAAATGTTAATTTGGGAAGATGTAACGACTCACCCCCCGACGTCGCTATATTCACTTCTGTCAAATTCTTCCTCAATCAAAACCCCTTTTTTATCCAAAATGAAAGGTATAGGGAGACTCTGTACTTCCAAAAGCCTAGGGGTCCAAGTTAATAGCCTTGAAATCATAATGCAGCGTTTACTTGTTACGATCCAATAAGGGATCGCCTATGTAAGCAGTTAGATAGACCAATCAGAGCCGCGCCGGGCGCCGGCGCCGTAGACTAACGGCGCAACGGCGCATACTGAAGGACCAGTAAATAAGGAAGGAAGGCCTCCCAGGCCTTCTGAATACTGGGCTCTTCAGCAAGCAATAGCTATCACAATCTACCAGTACCTTTCGGCTACTACTCTGTTACTCTATGGTTCTATCCCAGCCATAATACTCCTGTGCTTGTAACGGTTCGTCACATTACTGTAGACGTTGGGTCGAAAATTTGGTGCGTACCTCTAAGTTTTTGGTGCGGGTGGGGAAGTTAACTCTATTGCATACCGGCGACGGCGTGCCTGGGGAGGTTTGCCGTCTTCGATCAGAAGCTGTTTACGCTAGTCAAGCGGTGACAGGAAATGAAAATGCCCAAAGACCAAAAGCCAATCCCATATCGATGATCGCTATCCCTATCCCTTTTCGCTGTTGTTGATGTTCCCAAACTATTCAATCAGTGTCCCACTACCTCTGTACATAATATTTCCCATCCTCCTGTACTTGATCCTTCCCAGTTTCGACTCGAGAGGCTCTTCCTTCATCTGCTCTTCGCATGACTGGTAGTCCCCTGACAGTGGCGGTGCACGCGAGCGTGTCCATGCCTCCCACTCCAGTTTATCTCTACACACGGCGCAATTCCTCGACTTAGGTCTAGGATGATGCAAAAGCACGATGTTGGACTTGATTGTAGGCATATCCTTTTGACAGCCGCTGGTGTGGACCAAGTTCCCACACCCATGGCAGGGCCGGGCGGAATGGCCGTAACATATGGACCGGAAGCAGTTGAGGCAGACCAGCAGTTCGTCTTCTTGGAGGAAATAGTAGATTGCTTCGACGCCGTCGTGTGGGATCCGATCTAGTACTTTGCGCCAGTCTTCGTTCGGAGATTTGGCGTTCTTGAGGGCCTGAGCTGGGTAAGAATGGGCGAAGACATCATGGTATTCCTGTAGATTGAAGGCATCGCGGAATGGAAGTTCTGGAGGACAGTTGAGAATGAAGCGTAAGACATCTGTACATCAAGACGTGTGAGTGCCAAGTTCTCGCACCAGACGGGGATTTCAGCCGGGGAAAGGCTCACAAAGAATATGTTTGCAGTATCCATGCATACGCTCGCCCTAGATATGGTTGGTTGACACTTCCGGTCAGAAGGCCTGTCACGGTTATCTAGGTAGGTAGTGAGGCAGGGAGATGGAAAGACATACCGAGAAATACTTGCAGAGGCAGTTACAGCCCTTCGGTCCAACACGCACCAGGTTTTCCTGTTTAGCTTGACGATGCTTGAGGTGGAAAATCGTGGTCAAGTTTAACGGATCGTGATCCCGATCACGTCTTTTTGGGTATCTTCCTGCCCTTACGAGATTGTAGCGGGATTTTTCTGCCTCGCTCAGGAACTCATTGTAAACCTTCTCGTCTTGCATATCGTGCACCGCACACGAACCCGCATCCCGGTTCGGCAGACCGTAGTGTTCCATCAAGCTGTTCAGGCACCCGACACCATCCATGGAGAAACCTTCATCATCGTCAACGCGAATACCGAGCTCCTCACATGCAATCCTCAGGCCGTCTTCGGTCTCGAACGGCCAGTGTTCAATGTCATCCAGAGGACGCCAACCTGGTGGGAACGAGCGCTCCTTGAACGGCATGACTGATTGTGTTCGCGTTGGGAACGGTACGATGTGTGAGAATAGCTGCTGGCTGGAGGACTCAAGGGATGATATAAGTCGGGATGTTGATGTTGGCGTCAAGAATGTTGGGAGAACGTGGTCGAGAGGAACGACTGGTTTTCGGGTAGCAAGGAAAATGTGAACAACTTTGCAGATGTTGGAGTGGTAGACCAAGAAATCGTGGAGAAGACAGCAAATGATGAGATCAGATGGAAGAAGACAGATGGTGAAAGCCGGTCATGATCAAGGAGAGTTCCATTCCTATTGAAAACCAAAGCCCGCTGCGTCATACTTGCCATGTTCCTCAATCGACAACATAAATACCAGTGCCTGGAAGGTTCGCACCAGCATCACAGGGGCACGGAATACATTGCATAGATACCCTCCTCTTCTTGCTTGACCACCATCCTTGCGGCTGGCCGGTAACGCACCTTCCCAGGACAAATACGAAGAAGAAGGGTGTCATCAAAATTGACCTCAGCTTGTTAAGGTCCCTGCCGAACCAGCCCAGGACGGGCACCTTCCCCTTCCACAAACATCAAATCTTGCATCCTCTCTCACCTTCAACCCCGCAAAGTGGCAAGGCTGCCCCAAAGACCAATCTCAAAAACACCGCAGTGCAGTGACCATCTGTCCCAACCCTTCTCGGGAACAAACCGATGCAAGCCTCCTCACCAACACAACCTGCAACCACCAGCTGCGCTTCCTGGACACTCACAATTTTCTCAATTATCAACTTTCCAAAATGCATCAAACTTGCCATTTCCACAATTCCACCTATTTCACCATCCAGTACACGTGCTTCCTCATTTTCATTCACTCACAATAACTCCAAACCCCATCCTCAAAAACCCCTCTCCAATATCTCCCGTCTCCATCCATGCATCCCACAACCACACCCCAACCCCAACATCTTCCCCATTTGCGCTCATAAGGCCTCAACCTGGCGCCGATTTCCAACAAAGATCAAT